GACTGTTCGCTCTTATCTGCTCGAATGTCCATTCACGCGTAGTTCCCAAACCCTCGATACCTGCCTTCTCCGTCTTCGATCGAACCCCTTTTACGGGGTAGACCGTTCTTCCCTGCAGGCCGGGCCCTGGCAAGCGGCGGGGCGGCCGCGGACAGTCGGCCTGGCCAGCGGCAGCGCTGATCGGCGGCAGCCCGACCCCAAGAGGGGACGAACAGGGGACCGACCACGACGACGACGACGTCGTCGACGACGACGGCGACGATGACGACGAGCGGAAGCGAGAGCGAGAGAGAGAGAACGACAGCAGGGACACGAAAGGCACGAAGTAGGCCACGAAGGGCGACAGCGGGGACACGAAGGGAATGCGTATGGGGCCACGAAGAGCGCGAACGAGCGGGGGCCACAAAGGGCAGATAATAGGGCCACAGAAGGCTGCGACGGGGCCACTGAGGGCAGCAACGGGGCCACGTAGGACAGCGAGGGGGCCACAAAGGGCGACAGGAGGGCCACGAAGGGCATGCACATGGGGCCGCGACGGGCGCGAACGAGCAAGGGCCACGAAGGGCATACGTATATTGGGCCGCGGAGGGCAAGGACGGGGCCACTGAGGGTAGCAACGGGGCCACGAAGGGCGGCGAGGGGGCCACGAATGGCGACACCGGGGCCACGAACTGCATGCATATGGGGCCACGACGGGCGCGGACGAGTGGGGGACCACGACGGGCATACATATATGGGACCACGAAGGGCAGCGAGGGGGCCACGAAGGGCTGCAATGGGGCCACGAAGGGCATCGAGGGGGCCACGAAGGGTTGCAACGGGGCCGCGGCGGGCAGCAAGGGGGCCACGAAAGGCTGCAACGTGGCCACGAAGCGCAGCGAGGGGACCACGAAGGGTTGCAACGGGGCCCCGAATGGCAGCGAGGGGGCACGAAGCGCAGCGAGGGGACCACGAAGGGTTGCAACGGGGCCACGAAGGCAGCGAGGGGGCCACGAAGGGTTGCAACGGGGCCACGAAGGGCAGCGAGGGGGCCACGAAGGGTTGCAACGGGGCCACGAAGGGCAGCGAGGGGGGCACGAAGGGTTGCAACGGGGCCGCGGCGGGCAGCAAGGGGGCCACGAAAGGCTGCAACGTGGCCACGAAGCGCAGCGAGGGGACCACGAAGGGTTGCAACGGGGCCCCGAAGGGCAGCGAGGGGGCCACGAAGGGTTGCAACGGGGCCACGACGGGCAGCAAGGGGGCCACGAAGGGCTGCAACGGGGCCACGACGGGCAGCGACGGGGCCACGAAGGGCGGCAAGTGGGCCACGAAGGGCAGCGAGGGAGCCACGAAGGGCTGCAATGGGGCCGCGAAGGGCAGGGAGGGGGCCACGAAGGGCTGCAGTGGGGCCACGAAGGGCAGCGAGGTGGCCACCAAAGGCTTCAACGGGGCCACGACGGGCAACAAGGGGGCAACGAAGGGCTGCAACGGGGGCCACGAAGCGCCTCGAGGGGGCCACGAAGGGCGACAACGGGGCCACGAATGGCAGCGAGGGGGCCACGAGGGGCTGCAACGGGGTCACGAAGGGCATCGAGGGGGCCACGAAGGGCTGCAACGGGGCCACGGCGGGCAGCGAGGGGGCAACGAAGGGGGGCGCCAGATTCCGAAATAATGTGTGAGGGAGTCATAGGCGTGAGCGCGACTCCTGAGCGCCTCAGTGTCGGGAGCGCGGCGCTTGAATCAATTGCGGGAAATTCCAACGCAAGGGCGCTATTCTTCAGTAAGTTGCAAGCGCGTCTCCAGCGAGAGCGCGACTCCAGAGCACCGAGAGAGCGATTCCTGCATAAATTGTAAGAAGTCCAAGCAATAACGCGATTCCTGAATAACATGTGAGGAAGTCTCAGGCGGGAGCGGGGGTCCTGGCTAAATTGTAAGGAGGTATCGGGCGGGAGCCGTTGTTGTTGTAACCCGGGGGCCAGGGGCACAGTTTGAGCTTCAAGATTTTCCCTGATGAAAAGCAGGGTGCGAGCGTCGAGGGGCACACTTTGATTGAGAAAAAACGATATACACCGGTGGGGGGATCAACAATAATTAGTCTTCTGAAGTGAGAGTTCAGCAACAACAGCAGCAATGCAGCCAGCATGGTTCTCACCACGGATCCTTACTACAGCCACGCACCCAGGGACAATGAATGACCGTTCGGCCCCTTCACTCTGCTACATGTATGTACGTATATGAATGTGTATACACAGAGACACCTGAACATAGATGTATACATGTGTACGTGCATCTACAACGTTATATATATATATACACACAGACATGGGCGTGTAAAAATATACATCCGTACACATACGTATCCATATCCACCGCCAACCGAGGCCCCCAGAGATCGACCCCCAAGGCGGTAGCTGTCGAAAGATCCCAGCCCTTGTGCTTGATGCCTGGATGTTCTCAATACGGGGCCCCCGGAAGTCCCGATTTTCTCCCCTGCAGGGCCAGCTTCTCATCCCAAGTTTTTTCTTCTTGTCCTGGGGCCCGGCAGAGGCCCCCAGAGACCGAACGCCTCCGGACCCGTATTGATTTTGTTGACCATGCGGGTGGGTCTGGGTCTTTCGTCCACCCTTTTGTTCACGACGCGAGGGGGTCATGTGTCTTTCGTCCACCCGGGAGGGCCCACATCCTGGCTACAGCACGCGCGACAAGGCGAAGCTCGAGAACCTCATCCGGCTGCACATCCACAACGTCAGCGCCAGCACCGCGCCAGTCGCAGAGGCGGTGCCGACCCCGCAGGGCCTCGTGGCCGGCAGGCTGTCGCAGCCGCGGGAGGCGCGCCAGCCGTTGCAAGCGGGCACTGCCCAGTCGCCCACCCAGATCTCCGAGGATCTGATTTCTGAGATCCCAGTGTTTTTTCAGATTTCGGCTTCCAGGGACCGCTTTCGCGCCCCAGGGCCATCAGAAACGGATCCGAGACGGGGCCGGGACCACTGGGGCCGCGGATTAAAATTAGCTTGGCGAAGGACCCAACCATATGCAGTTGTGAGTAACGCAGTTGTGGGTATCGTCTTCGGTGGGGCTCACTATGGGGTCACCAAACGGAGGGTGTGTGTGCCGACATGGGTGGCGGGTACGCATGCGAACGCTGCCACTGGGGCTTCTGGTGGGGCTCCCTATGGGGCAACGAAACGTGGGAGGGGTGTGTCGGAATGGGTGGCGTGGGCGCTTGCGCACACCGCCACTGGGGCCTTCGGTGGAGCTCCCTATGGGGTCACGGAACGTGTGAGGGGACTGTCGAAATCGGTTGCCAGGACTCATGCGAACGACGCCATTGGGGCCCTCGGTCGAGCTTCCCATGAGGCCTCGAAGCCTGTGCGGGGTGTGCTGGGCTGGGTGGCGGGGACGCATGCAAACACGGATATTGAGGCCTTCTGTGGAGCTCCCTATCGGGCCACGAAACCCGTGAGATGGATGGATGGACAGCGCCTTGAAAGGTCGGGAGGTGACAGCACCAAAAGCGTGGGGGGATCGACCCGATCTAAATCGCCCTGGAGGCTTTTGCCTCTTCTTTAGCTTCAATCCTTGCGACCAGAGCCGCCATTCGCTGCTCGAAAGCGGGGGCCGAGGGAGAGTCCGAAAACGCTCGCGGGACTGAGGTAACACACATCTCGGGCTTATCGTCCGCTTCTTTGGCAACATTGAGCTGAGACACAGGCAACGCCTTCTCAAGCACAGCTCTCACTTTGGGATTGGGGCCAAGCCCACGCCGAAAGCGGTTCAGGACATCCAGTCCCTTACGCGACGGCTTGACGCAGACCTCAGCGAGCTTCACGGCCCTCCCCTGTGTCCAGCCCCCGCACTTTAAACACAGAATCTGCTGCTCACGGCAGGGGCCCAGGACGACAGCCGACCGAGGCGTTTCAAGAACCGAACCCGACACGGCGACGAGAAGATGCCCGAGGGGGTAACGCAGCAGTTTCTGGAGAGCAGGAGGCGGGCCCTTGCAACCTAGCATGGGCCTGTCGGGTCGATCGCACACCACCCAACAATAGCGACACTGCACTCCTAGTTCAGACCTCCTCCAGAGATGCCAAGTCTTCTGCTGGGGACTTCTCCCCTGGGTGGTAAAAGCCTCTCGCTTCCAACGCACTTCATTCTTGAAGAGGGGCAAAACTTCGGAAGCGAGCTTAACAAAAACGTCACTTCGGTTTTGATACAACTCAACTTGGTCCAGAAACGTGGGCAATGGCCTAGGATGGCCCTCAAGGGCCTTCCTGGCATGCCCGTCCACAGCTCGATTCGCAAGCCCAAACCTACGATCATCTCCTTCTAACTCTTCAAGAGCAGACAGCTCTCGATGAGCCTTTACATGGAAGGTTGACAGAAATTCCGTTCCTGCTAGCTCATGGGCAAACCGCCTCGCACCAGCATATTTATTGGAACCCATAAACTGTTTCCAGAGCGGCCTCTGGGTCTGACAAATCACGACTTTACAATCGAGGGCCAGGGAGGTGGGCCGATCTGCAACCTGCCCGACCAAGGCCGCCCCCGCATGTTCGGCCATTGCAGGGGTTTGTGGCAGACCTCCAGGCACAATACCCCGCACGATGGCAAGGAGAGATTCGCTGCCTGGCTCCATGAGGGCTATCGCCCACGCGGCACGATGGAGACAGCGGAGGGCCTGCTTCGTGCAGCTGCCGCCGGACGCCATCTCGAGCTACACCACATCTCCTGCAAGCTTCGCAAGTTCCTCAGGCTGCATATTCAAATCAAGTCCTGCGCCGTCTAGGATCTCACAGTTGGCATGGGAGGCTGGAGGGGGCACATCACTGTCAAATGACCTAAACAAGCCACGAATGAAGACAGGATCATCGCTGTGTGCCCCCTCCTCAAAAATTTCCGACGGAATCTCAAGGGACTGTTGGGCCTCCACAGCCTCAGGACGCGTGCAGGTGTAAAGTCTATGGTGCAACGTGTCGCGGTGTCCGCACGTGCACATGCCATCAGCGAGGCAACCAGCGTCGCACGCACGTGCCTCGGTCCAAATCGCATCCGTGGCGCACGATAAAAGAAGGAACTGCTGCTGGCGAGTGTGCTTCTTATTGCGCGTGCACATAGAATTACGAACAAGGTCAAAGGTGGCTCTCATGCCGCTCACGTGCCCTAGCTTGTTCGCAAAACAAAACTCCGCCTCCCTCTGCAGACCCTCTCTGGGAAGATCAAGGAGGGGGCGAGGTGGGGTCTTGCTTATATCTACCATGCAGCCCCAATGGTCGATCCACTGCGTTCCTGACACCACTTTCCATCCAGCACGTCGTGCCGACAAGGTTGCACGAGCAAGCGGGCCACGGCTGGATCTCCAATCGCCAGCCTCGCTAGCCTTGGCCTGCTCCCAGAGCTGAAGCAACTCCTGGAAAAGGACCAGTGCACGAGTGGGACTGACCTAGGCGTTCCAAAGCATACGACACCATTGCAGAGCGGGACCAACTGCTGCGCGAGTGTCCCACTCACCATGCAAAACAAGCTTTGCCATCGCACTGGTTCCTCCATGGGACGGCGGCCCTCTGCGAGCTTGGGTCCTTCGCACAGTGTTGAGCTGAGCATCCGAGAAGGCCAAAACCTCAGACCCATGCGACGAGGCGGGCGCAACACCCGTGCGAAGGACCTGAGAGGGACCCTTCTTGGCCTCCTTGTTGGGGGCTCTGGATTTAAACCTGCCCATCTTTTTTTACACGCACTTTCATTCCCCAAAGACGGGGCCGCTGTTCGACACGCGCACGAGCAGCTGAACGCTTGGCACCTGCACTATCGTCAACCCCGAGATAGGTGACCGACCTTTTTGCAACCTTGGGCTCAAGCCCTAGGCCGCGCACAACTTCACGTGCAATGGGTACCCCGTTGGCAACAACAGCAACTTCATCATTTATAACCGCGCTCATCTGCTTACTCGCGTGATAAAATGCTCGGCCTGCCGCAACGGCAAGCTGCGCAGCGCTCTGTCTTTGGGGGCTGGAGATTTGAATCCCCGAATCATCGATATACGATGCGAAACGAACTAGGGGAGGTTGGCTAGCAACAAAATCATCGAAAGCCTTGACAGCATGCACTTTGATTCTGATATCATTGACGCAATCGCCAGCAGGCAACCCGAAATTAGCATGCGCGACCCCTTCTGAGCGGTGCTGTCGGAGGCGCAGCACTCGAGGAGCCCTCCATACATTAAAAACGAGTTTCAAAATGCAGTGGGCACTTTGAATTCGAGAAACTGATCCCGAAGTTCGACTAGTGGGATGGTCTCATAATATTTAGAGCAGTCGGCGATAATGAGCACACTGAAGCGGCTCGAGGCAACATCAGCCTCAGCACGTGCCGCTTGTGCCCAGGCACAGTCCACAGAACTCCTCCCCTGATTCGCACCCCAGTGCCCGCGCTCCACCTCCTCCATTAGTGCACCTGGCATAGGCCGCCGCAGCCTCTGCCAGATGCGGTGGATACCGCTGTAGAGCATTATTGGCCTATGTCCAGTGGATGGCTTCGGCAGCACGGGCATTCGTACCCATGACAGTTGTTTGGGTAAAAGCCCTATCGCCTCGCAACACTGCCACAAGCCAGCTAGCAAGTCTAAGCCGTCATCATCCAGCAACAGGAAATGCCTCGGATGAAATTGATCCAAGGACCTGGCAGTCGCCCCCGAGAAACTCTGGATGACTTTCCTCACCTCCCCAGGGTCAGCACGTGGAACGCTGGTCCGGTCGGGGATCCAGGCAACAGGCGGGGAGGCGGTGGCTCGCCAGAGCTTAGCTTGCGACTGCAGCTCATGCTGCACAACCGACTGAGGGTCAGGACTGGGGCCTTTAGGGTCATGCACAACCGTAGGCGTAACAACACTCCGAACCTTCGTGACCCTGTGAAGGCCCCGCGCTCCCCCCACACTGGCAGTCTTGCACCAATCGCTCCAGTTGTCCTGGATTTCTTTTGATGCTCCTTTTACTGCAACTGAGACGTCATCAGTCATACCTTCGAGAAACTGCCCAACATGTTCCCGACAACTCCCGAACATAACGTCTTGCGAGCTTGCTTGACCGAGTTATCTAGCCTGGCGCCCAGACCGAGCCCTGGGTAGTCGTGGTCCCGAAAAACAGTTAACTCGGCTAGCATGGCATCCTGGGTTTGGTCCGTCATATCATCTTGAGCTGTTGGCTGACCGAGGTGCTGGACTCCATTCCGAAGCCACTGCCACCCATCAGCTATTAAACATTTTCGCTCTCGTCAGGCACAGGATATTCAACATTGACCCAGCGCGGTGCAACTTGGCGCCCGAAACTGCCAAAGTTATCTTTCGCACCCCCAGTGCAGGTACTGATATGCCGCGCAGCGATTTGGGCAAACTTGCCCCGCTAGTGCTGAGCAGGTGATGCACTGCCCCAGGATCGGCCTTCTCGCCCCCCGCCATTTCAACGCACCGCTCAACCATCCCCCTAACAGGACCCCACTCCGGTGGCGCGGGGCGAGGGCCGAACGGGGGGGAAATCGAAAGAGAAGGAGCAACTGTATACACTAGATGCTGCACTCGGTATCCCTCACTTGCTGTAGCTAACTGCACTGGCCTGTTGGGTATAATCGAACAGCTTGCGTCGAGTTTAACACGCCTGTACGCGCGCATGCAGGGATCATTGGGCCCGAAAAAATCGATGACCGAGCTAACTGTGCCACCTCGACAAGTGTAGAGCTGAGTAGAGACCAAGGTCAGGCCAGCAAAACTGCAGAACCCTGAAGCCTCTACTTCGTCTGGCGACATGTTCCAGCCTCCTCCTACAATGCACTGCCCTTCAACACTCTCCACTACTGCACCTGCTGCTGCCATCAACTTGGCATGTTTGCCCTAAAGGCCTATACTCGGATACAGGTGCATATTCACAAGATGGAGTGTGGGGCAACCTGGGAGGTCAAGCTGCACATGCTGCACGCGATGCTCACGCACTTGACGCACGCCCACTTGAGGCGCTCGCACACCACATTCACTGCGCACAAAAACCGCTACACCAGCACTGGGCACATTACCTGCAGACGGGCAAGAGGGCAACGTCATTAGACTCCATGCACGCACTTGCGCCCAAATCTGGATAGCTTCAACCTGTTCGGCGACATGGCCGAAATCCTGCACAATAACTACAACTGCTCGAGTGACCTTGAGACGTGTCTTAAGCGTGCTATTGCCTCCGCTACAATTGAATCTCTCAATCACATACCCCCCTTCGTCTTTCCCTAGTTCAGGTTTCGATGGTGGGAAGGAGGCTGTCCTGAAACCTGTGACAAGGGGCAAAAGACAACCGTCGGCATCATACCCTCCGGACTCTGGAGCACGAGCTCCAAGGCCTGGGCGCGCAGCCACTGGCGCATCGCCCTCAGTAGTCGGTCTGACAGGGGAGGCGCCGCTCGCACTCTCACCCTTGCCGCCAGGAGGTCGGACAGCACCTTCATCAGCATCATCTTTGGTCCCCGATGATCGAAAGGAGTGTTGGTTGACCACTACCCCTTCCGACATATTACACTCAACCTGTGCTCCGAGATCATCGTCAAACGGGATGCCGCGCCTTCTTCGCGGTGTAGAGCTCCTCCAGCGTTGCAGTGAAATCCTCGAAGCTGGAGCACGTAGTCCATGAGGCACGTCGCTCATCATCGGACAGTTCACTGATCTTGTGGTAGCGCTTGTTGCTTGCTCCACCACCACCTGCGGGATGATAAATGATAATCTCGGGCACCTGCATCATCACCGTCATCATCTGCAGTATCACCCATGCCAGCGTCAGGATCGGTCTCCTTGGGCATGACACGGATGTGCTCCTGCAGCTTCTTCCACACTTCGTTGAAGAGGAACGCCTCTGCCTCTGGGTTGTCCTTCTTGAAATTGCCGATATCATGGAGCATTACCGACCCTGGAACTGCATCTCGCTGTTCGTTACCTTCAACTTTGGGCGAGATCAGCGACGCCGTCCTGTCGAACCCCGGTTGCAGGACGACCAACTGCAGAGTCTGAACGCGCTCCTCGATCGATACACGCAACTTCTCAAACTGTTCACGCTTCTCGGCCAAGTCCTTAGACATCTGCTCAATCGCCATATGCGCTTTGCTGATGTCCTGTGCTGCTCGACGATGAGCTGTCTGAGGAGGCCGCATATGCTTGTGCTGTACACGCAATGAAGCAAGTTTCTTCTCCATGTTGCCCCGAATGTCTTTGAACTCATCATGCGTTCCCATCGTCTTGATTGAGGCCTCCAGGTCCTGAATATGCACTGCAACTTTAGCTCGTCGCCCTTCATCAGTGTCTGGCGCGATGTCTGCCTTCTTGGTAGCTTTGTGGTTTGCCTCCATCTTCCGCGGTGGGTAGCTGGGGGCTCCGAGCTTGAATTTGTATTTTCAGCAAGCGATGCCATGAGGGTGTCCAGTTTCTTCTCCATCGCAGTAAGCTTATCTCCCTTGCCACCGCTTTTTTCCTGCCTGTCGCGACCCTTCCCTTTGCCCCGTGCTTTGCCGACGCCGCTCTCGTGCTGCTGCAGGGCAACCTTATGGGCAGTGACTGCTCTTGCTCGAATGTGCGCGGGGGCTGACCGTCCGCGCTCGCACTTGATCCTCGACGCCCAGTTGTGCAAACGCGCGCACGAACCACACGCCCGCTCTGGTTTGCGCGGGCCAAGCAAGACATCCCATTCCTTGTCATCAAGGGCTGGGGCCATCCGCTGGCCACTGCGTCACGCGAAATCTCGAAAGAAATTTGCTCCACCAGGGGCTCACTGGAAACTGGCCGGGGCAGCCAGGCCTTAGGAAGGGGCTGCCCTTCCACCTCGGCCTCGAGCGTCTGGAATCGGGGCGGGAGGTAAGCTCCGTCTTGAGCCAAAATGGCGGCGGCCGACGAAACCCGTGAGAGAGTATGCCGAACAGGGGGTGGCGGGGACGCATGCGAACACCGCCACTGGGGCCTTCGGTGGAGCCCCCTTATGGGGAGACGAAACTTGCGACGAGTGTGCAGAAATGGGTTGCGGGGACGCATGCGAACACCGCCATTGGAGCCTTCCGTGGAGCTCCCTATGGGGCCACGGAACGTGTGAGGGATATGCCGAAATAGGTGGCGGGGGCGCATGCGAACACCGCCATTGGGGTCTTCGGTGGAGCTCCTTATGGGGCCACGGAGCGTGTGAGTGGTGCGTCGGATTTAGTGGTGGGGGCGCATGCGAAACCGCCGCTGGGGCTTCGGTGAAGCTCCCTATGGGGCAACGATATGTGCGAGGGGTGTTCCAAATGGGTGGCGGCTGGGGCCTTCGGTGGAGCTCCCTATGCGGTCACGAAACGTGTGCGGTGTGTGTGTGTGTGTGTGTGTGTGTGTGTGTGTGTGTGTGTGTGTGTGCCGCAATTGGTGGCGCGGACGCATGCGAGCACCGCCAGTGGGGCCTTCTGTGCAGCTCCCTGTGGGGCCACGAAACCTGCGAGGGCTGCGTCGAAATTGGTGGCGGGGACGCATGCGAACACCGCCACTGAGGCCTTCGGTGGAGCTCCCTAGAAGGCCGCGAAACTTGTGACGAGTGTGCCGACATGGGTTGCGGGGACGCATGCGAACACCGCCACTGGGGCCTTCGGTGGAGCCCCCTTATGGGGAGACGAAACTTGCGACGAGTGTGCAGAAATGGGTTGCGGGGACGCATGCGAACACCGCCATTGGAGCCTTCCGTGGAGCTCCCTATGGGGCCACGACACGCGTGACGAGTGTGCCGACATGGGGTTGCGGGGACGTATGCGAACACCGCCATTGGGGCCTTCGGTAGAGCTCCGTATGGGGTCACGAAGCGTGCGAGGGGTGTGCCGAAATGTGTGGCGGGGACGCATGCGAACACCGCCATTGGAGCCTTCGGTGGAGTTCCTCATGTAGCCACGAAGCGTTTAAGGGTTGTGCCGACATGGGTGGCGGGAACGCATGCGAACACCGCCAATTGGGCCTTTTGTGGAGCTCCCTATGGGGCCACGAAGTGTGTGACGGGTGTGCCGAAATGAGTGGCGGGGGCGCATGCGAACACCGCCACTGGAGCTTCTGGAGGAGCTTCCCATGGGGCCTCGCAGCGTGTGAGGGGCGTGCCGACATGGGCGATGATGACGAGAGGAGGAGGGAAGGGGCAGCGGGATGAGGAGGAGTGAGTGACGCGGGGCGTTGTCTCTTCAAAACGAGGACCCATCACCACAGGATGGTTGGGAACAAATCTTACGAGGAAGGAAGAGAACGCGTTCGACCGGCATTCGCGCGCAAGCTTCCCGCGTAAGGCCGTGCGTGAGCGCCCTCTTCTCCTCGCGGTGTGCCACGCTAGCGGCTCCCTTCAGCCACCGCGTAAGGTCGTTATGTAATCGTGCGCAAGGCCCCATTATTTTCGCTGCTCGTATCGGCGGATGTCAGGGCCTGCCGCCGCCGACGGGCCCTCCGCCGGGCCTCGCGCCGGGCTTCTCGTTCGGCTCCATCGGGCACCCGACCTCCTGCGCTGGGCCGTGCAAGTACCTGTCCGCCAAGTCTCGGGGGTGCAAGGAGCGATGGCCCTCGGAACGTGTGTCAGCCCAGGGCGTGCGTGCCCCGTTCGGCTCCCCGCCGATGGCACGCAGCCTTTTCTCCTCTTTTCTTGAAAACCGACTGCGTCGCATGCAGCGGCCTCTCCGGCAGACACTTTCCGAGGATCGTCGAGAGGACGGCCAGGACTGCGACAGGTGCCACCTCTGCGTGTGGCCGCGCGACGGCCGGCGCAAGCAGACCTCGCAGGACGCGCCCGCGGACGTGCGCGCGGACGGAGCCTCCAAGCCGCGCGACGGCGGGCGGCGGCAGCAGCCAGGGAGCGCGGAGGGAGCCCCAGGGCTGGACGCCCCAGCCTGCGGAGAGCGAGTGCGGGCGGCGCGGGCCTTCGCGAGCGAGCCCCCGCTTGCGCCCGCGCCCGGGGCCCCGTCGGCCCTGCAGCTGGTGGGCCCAGCAGCGTGCGCGCAGCCGGCCGCCAGCCGCGGGCCGAAGGCTCCGGCGGGCGCGGCGGCGCGGGGCGACAGGGCCGAGTGGACGAGGGATGAGCTGGAGAAGATGTCTGTGGGGTCGGCCAATCACCCCCACGGCTGCGCCGGGGCGTGCAAGTACTTCCGCAAGCCCCGCGGCTGCAAGGACGGGGCGGCTTGCAACCGCTGCCACGCGTGCGAGTGGCACGCGCCTCCCAGGCGCGGGGCGCAGGCGACCGCGGCCGCCACCAAGGACGCGGTAGAGGAGGCCTTGTTGGACGCGCAGCCGTAGTTCTCAAGGCATGGGTGGAGGCTGCAGGCTGGAGGCGCAGCGTAGTTCTCAAGGCGTGGGCCGTGCGCGAGGGTCGCGCTCGAGGCCATCGTTCCACTGGCTCGGAGGAGTCGGCGGCCATACCCAGACCCCCCTTTACGTCGTGAAAAGAGCACGACGGACGGCTTTGTATATTCTCTGCCTCTGGGGCCCTCGCCAGGCCTTGGGAGCGCCCAAAAACGACTCAAGGTGGAAAACCGGTTTCATCGGGGGTGGACAGAACCCCCAACAGTGACACGTCGATTAGTGAATTGTCCGTTCTCGGTTCTCGAAAGGGCGCCGTGGCCGTCATTTTCCAGGCTTGCGCCCTCCAGGTTTGGGCCTCAGGTCGTTTTCACTAAACCACGTGTTACTACAGGGGGGTCTGTCCATCCCCGATTTCAGGACATCGATCGAGACCTCTGAGGGTCCGAGTCATGAAACGAATCATGACGTCGGGGTCTGGGTGGCTCGTGGAGTGGGACTCCAACTTTTGGTCACAGCCTGTGGAGCAGGTGGGCTTGGCGGGCGTCACCCTGGTGTTGAGGACTCGGATGGAGGGCGCGAAGCATGCGAAGGGGGGGGATGGGAGAAGGCCTGTCGCCGACGTCTGCTGAATGCAGGAGCAATCTTGACAGTCAGCGAGCCCGGGAATGTCCTGGCCGCTGGGCGAGACCTCCCGGCAGCAGGTGTCAAGCGGCAGGATGTCCGTATATTTTCCGGGCTGAAGGCCAAAGCACGCAGGATTCCAGGTCGAAGCAGGCCAGCGGAATTTCCAGTTGTCTAGTTTTTGTGGCGGTCATCCGGGCCACTCGCGAGCCCTAGCAAGACGTCCGATCCGAGGGGTTTACCCTTTCAGCGCCTGGGTCTCGGACGGAATCTGCAGCGCCGTGCCGATGCGATCGCTTTGGGCAGGAAGCTGCCCGAGCCCCACAAGCTTCTTTTTCGCCGTGGTGAGCTTTAGCAAAGACGCCTCAGGCGATTTTTTCAGAACAAGACGCGCGTCTTTTCCTGAAAAAGAAGGATGCGGCAGATTGTCAGGTGGTTCGCACCTTCTCCTCCTCTTCCTTGTCCTCCTCTTCCTCTCCTCCTTGTCCTCTTCCTCATTATCCTTCCGCTCTTCCTTCTCCTCCTCCTCCTCCTCCTCTTCCTCATCCCTCCTTCCTTATCTCCTCTTCCCTCATCTTCCTCCTCCATCCTATCCACCCCTCCTTCGTTCTTCTTCACTACCTCCTCCTCCTCCTCCTTCTCCTCCTTCTCCTTCTCCTCCTCCTCCTCCTCTTCCTCCTCCCTTCCCCATTCGGCCCTCCTCCCCCTTTCCACCAGCCTCCTCCCTCCTCCCCCCTCCTTCCTCCCACCTCCTCCTCCTCGGCATCCTCCTCCTCATCATCATCATCTTCTCCCCTCCCTCTCGACCCAATTTTTCCCCACGTCGCTCCTCATTCCTCTCTCCTCCCTCCTCCCTCCTTTTCCTGCCTCCCCCCTCCTCGTCCCGAATCCCCTCCCTATCCTTCTCCCTCCTCCCTCCTCATCCTTCCCTCATCCTCCCTGCATCTCTCCACACGACGACGTTGACCCCCAACAACGGCGGCGACGACGACGGCGACGGCGACGACGGCGTCGACTGACCACGACGACGGTGGCACCCAGCGACGGCGGCGACGGAGACGACGATGACGGCGACGACGGCACACGAAAGTCGTTGTCGTTGACCAACGCTACCAACACAACCGCAACACACGCATACCGCACGCAAACACGCGCACACGCACATCCGTTCTCGTTATGTCTCTGTCGTTCTCTCTTTTCCTTTCTCTCCTTCTCTCTCTCTCTCTCTCTCTCTCTTTCTCCTTTTTCTATATATATATACACATATGTATATATATATATATATACACATACGTACCTTTCTCATGCGCCAGCAGCCCCCAAATAACAACAAACACATGCGCTTGACCGACGGCGCCAAAGGCCGTGCTCGCATGGGCCCCTCGCGAACCGTTGTCCGAAAGGGGAGGCTCTCCGAAGGACCCAACGGCACCGCGAGCACTTGCCAATCCCCCCCTTTCCCACGCTGGCATCCCTCATCACGCTTCGTGGCATCACAGTAGGCTCGCACCGCGTGCGCTGTTCAAATCTCGGGGCAGAAAGTTCCTGGTGCTCGTCCGAAAAAAAATATGCACCATGTTTGCCAGTTGCCCTCTCATCCTGCTACGTTCCGTGCCCCGACCCTCCGCCAAGGGTGGCCCCTCTTCCTCTTTCTCTCAGCCAGTCATAGCCATTTTGAACCAAACACTTTTGGACCAGTGCTCATTTCGTTCCCCGAATGCCGCGGTTCGCTTATGCCTGGATTTCAGAGGAACGCGTCTCAGAGGCGATGGCTCGCGTGCCAGTGTCACAGTACAAGAACAGAGAGTTCATCATCTATTCGAAGCTGAAGGCCGGGAGGGCACCATTGTGGAGAGAAGCTAAGTCACTTGCTCAGATTATATAGTGTATTATCGAGCACAGCGGTGGATTGAACGTCACGCAATCATCGTTGCAGAGTGGCATCCAGAAGTAACTGGCATATTACGACATCAAGCTGGCCGACACAAAATCGACAACATTGCCGACAAGCGACGCGCACTTATCAGCCAACTCCACATCCAGAAGAACAAGGATAGGCCAATCCCGACTGGCTTTGCAGAATCGTTCTCGTCCAGATTCGGCATGATCACCTTGCGGGGGGATGGGGCCCCCGCCGAACAGGACGTCATCGCAATGTCGCCCGTGACGATTGTCGCCGACTTCGTGGAGGTCCTGGGTTTCAGATGGCGGGGGGGGGGAGGAGGTCGGCGCAGAGGAGCTCCTGACCTGTGCCGACCCCGACCTGCTGAAGCTCTTGCAAGCTGGAGACCCTAAAGAGGCTGCGCAACCACTAGCTGCTTCCGAGCCGCAAGTGCCAGGCTGCTCTCATTTGGCGTCGGCGGAGATCCAATCTCGAGCGCTGGCGCCGTTCATTCCTCGGGGTGACCGACCGTGGCTGGAGGGCCCTCAACAAGCTGAAGGCGGCTGCTGGGAAACGGGGCGAGCCCACAGCCAAGGCCAAGGGCAAGGGCCAGAGGAAGGGCAAGGGCGGCAAGGCCAGCGCAAGGGGCCATCAGCCGTTGACAGCACGTCCGCGGCGAGCATGCGCGCCGCAGAGTTGAAGGCCCACAAGAAGCGCGAGCGCAGCGCAGCGTGGCATCACGCGCGCGCGGCACAGCTAGCAGCAGGCATGTCAGAGGCCGGTGCCTCGGCGGCAGCGTCGGCGGCTGGGGCGGCAAGAACGGCTGAGATCGATGAGGCCCGCGCTGAGGCTGTCGGGGCCGCTTCGACGTGAGCGGGCGCGGTTCGGCAACGGGCCAGTCGCCATCTTTGCGGCACTCGGCGCGTTGTTTAGGATCGCTCATGCTTTCGGCTTGGCACGCTGGGGCAGCTTTACCCTGGCGCTATCCAGCGACGCACCTCGGCATGGGCGCAGCATGCGCCAGCGATGGGGCGCCGGCAGCCGCAAGCTCTGAGCGCGCAAGGGCATGTTCGATATTTTCACGAATCTCGACCTCGAGAAGAGGTGAGTGTGAGATGCGGGGCAGAGAATAGCAAAGAAGAACATGTGTTCTGCTTTGCTTCTCTCTGCCCCGTGCTGCGCGCATGGGCAATAGTTGGGGTCGCTCGAGGGGTTCTGGGAACCCCGCGGGCGCTTCTCGAAGGCTTCGGGGGGTTGGCTCTCGAGGCCGTCGCGGGCCCCCCGAGGGGTCTCGTTGGTGGGCAAGATAAAGATCGCAGCCCGCAAGATTGTCGCTGCGGGCGCTGTGTCACAACCAACCTCGTTACCGCCGCCGTTGCAATCGTCGCCAGATGAGATGCATCGTCGCCGTTGCATCGCCGCTCTCAACGCTCTCATCGGATGAACCAGCTCTGGCATGTCATTCGTTCGCCAGGTTTTCGTCGCAATCATCGTCGCGACCACGCTTCGCTCGGCAGTTAATGTTCGTTCGGCGTCGAGGCCGTTGCGAAGGCCTGTAGCCTGAAATATTGCCATCGCAATGATCACAAACGCCATCGCAAAAGTGAAGGCATCGACGCAATGAGTGTCGCAATGCCCACCACCGCCGTCACCCGCACCGTCGCCGCCGCTGTCCTTGCCGCCGTCATCGTCGTCGTCGTCGTCATCATGGCAATCGCCGTCGCCGTCGCCATCGCGTCACCTCGTCGCATCTGCCATGCGCCATTCAATCATCCCAACGCCTCCTGGATGCACCCCGCCCAATCCCCATCCCGCACCCCTTTGGGCTCGACCAGCTTCGCGGCGAGTTGATGGCGGCCGAAAGCTTGCAATGGCTTCGCAGCTGAACGCAGCGCTCGAGGTCGAGAACATCTCGCCCCAATACTTTTGCAGCAAACATGCCCTCTATCTGGCATCCGCTGGCGACTTCCATCCGCGCGAAACAGGCCTTCTGGAGGACAACGGCAACGTCGGCTCCGTCGATGAATCTGGCGATCGCCAGCTGGCGCGCCTTTGAATTCCTGAAGTCGAAGTGCACTCGCTCGCTGGCCGAGGCCGCTAATGACCTCTCGTCGCAGATTGCGACGGCCTGCAGCTCTCTCGAGGTGGAGAAAGCCCATTCCGCGGCCCCTGGGCGGAGACCGCGCCCCAGCCACTCGCGGAGAAGTTTGCCGAGCTCAAGGCCACGATCGACGCCGTCAATGAGCCCGATGAGGAGCGCCCGAAAACAAACTGAGGCGCTCGGCCTCCGATCCGTAAGGTCCAGCTTGTTCGTGGGCTCAGTCGCCGCGTCGTTTGTGGACAGGCTCAGCCGCCGGCTCTGTCTCGCGCGCGTGGACAGGCGGTCAGCAGCGCAGCCTTGCCCCTCAGCTGTCGCAGCGCGTGCGAGGTGATCGCGAAGCGCATGGAATATATATATATATATATATATATATATATATATATAACTATTTCTGTTGAAACAAACGCCATAAACATCGTCGCCGCGTTTGTCCCCATCACCACTGGCGCCATCATCGAGGTCGCCGCTTTCGTCGCCATTGCCAACGCGAGACAACAGACACAATTGCATTGCTATATACTTGGCGCATGCGGCATTGCGTTGGCAAGAGAACAACCCCTGCATCTCATCGCAAGGGCAGACGCGTCGGGGCTACCAGGTTTGGAGGCTCAAG